TGATCTGCTGTAATCTCAACTCCTCAAGGATGATAAGGAAATTTGGTACAACTTTACATAACATAAACAATAAAATCAGAACTATTGCTGAAAGAATGATGAACAGAAAGGGAAAAGGTAGCATGCTCTGAGTTCTTAATGAGTGTAAAAAAAAATGGCATGGTCTGGAAAGAGCCTATAACATTTTAGTTCTTCTTTTATTCCAATTCCAAATTATATTTAATCAATTGATATCAATAAAAAGAAAAGATGACTGGTAACACATGATTACTGATGCTCAGGAGTGCGGGGAGGGGAGTTTGGTACCATGGTGTCACAGGAAATTAATTTCAACTGTTGTCTTTTTATAGAATTAATGCTTATAACATTCACTGGGCTGAGAATCATTTGTGGCCCTCTCCATTCTCCATACTTGACTTGTAGCATAGTGGTTAAGGAACAGGCTTTGGTATCAGATTAGTGTGATTGGACTCCTTTAGGATATCCGTATTTATTGAGGACCTGTAGGTCTTCTAAGCACCAGAGAAACAGCAACAAACAAAATAGATAAGGTTCCTGTTCTCGTGAAGCCCACATTCTACTGAGGGAGGTAGATAATTTAAAAATAAACAAAACAAATAAATAAGCAAGATAACATCAGATAGATGAATGCTCTGAAAAACAGGAGGGAACATATAATGATGATTTTGGTGAGGTTTAAGGTGGTTGCTACTTTAGATCGGAATCAGGAAAATCTTGAGGAAAGTTGCTTTTGAATTAGAACCTGAATAAAGAAAGGAAACCAATAATGAAGTATCTAGGTATCCCAGCTTCCTGAAATTTCTCCATCTGTAAAATAAGGCACAGGGCTGCTTTGATGATAGAATGTGGGAATGAATGAAAAAAACTTAGCACTAACCTAATAAGTGTGTGAAGCCTTCCTTGTGGCTGTCTGTCCTTATGACATCAAAGCATAAAGCAGGGTTTGTTTTAACCTTGTTAACAGCAAAATAAGTTACCGAGTTACCTCAAGTATGTGAGGTTAAATTTATTCTCTCATCTCTAGATGTCATTTCACAATCCATCCCTCTGGATTAGTCCATACCTGGGGATCCATAAATATAGTTACTGTCACTATCCATCTACCTCTAAGTTGGCTGGGCAAATAGCACAATAATGTTAGGTGGCCAAATGCACATTTGATGCATCTTAAGATTTAGTCCAGGATTAACATAATACTCTGCATTTTAAGATATTTTAAGGTTAGCAATTTAAACAGAAGTCCCCAGAGACTGTGGCCTTGTCTTGTTGATGCCACTAGTTTGGTTACACAGCTAATTCCATCAGAGCCATTGAACCAAGTGTTAGTGTGTGTGAAGAGAGTCCATGAGTCAATTGTCAGCACAGAATTCTTCCTGACATAGGAAGGCAGATGATCTCAACTTCTGAGTGTATACAGTGCAGATTTCTAGTTGAATGGTTCTTGACAATAGTGTCCTCTGTAACATAATGCCTGGCCAGGAGCCAGTGATTATGCCACCGTACAAATCACTGTGCATCTGACGCCAGAACGCCTCTGTGCGTGGTAACAACAAGAGTTCTCAGTCCTGGTGTTCCACAAGATGTTGCATTGGCTCTTTTATTCTTTATCAGACCCTGGAATTAAAGATTTTATTTAGATGGTTTTCAGGAAATAAGTGACGGCAGTGGAAAAGGAAAAGAGAGGAGATTTTAGTGTAGTTTAAGAAATAGCTCTGCTATTATGCAATTCCCAGTAGGATGAAATCAGCCTATGTTTTGAAACCTAGTTTTATTAATTGTTTAATAGATATTTTCACTTTAAATCTCTTATTTAATTATAGAACAAAAACAGCTTGGTTCAAACTGTTAGCTAATGATCCATGTATCATTTTAGTAATTGCTAGCTTCTTTCAGAAATGCATTAATTTTGTAAGAATTACAGACTTTCAAATGTGAAAACAGAGATTATTTAAGATCAATAAATTAGAACACTTATAATTCATTTCAAATGTTATTTTACTGGGCTTCCGTGGTGGCGCAGTGGTTGAGAGTCCGCCTGCCGGTGCAGAGAACACGGGCTCGTGCCCCGGTCCGGGAAGATCCCACATGCCGCGGAGCGGCTGGGCCCGTGAGCCACGGCCGCTGAGCCTGTGCGTCCGGAGCCTGTGCTCCGCAACGGGAGAGGCCACAACAGTGAGAGGCCCGCGTACCACAAAAAAAAAAAAACAAACAAAAAAAAACACACACAAATGTTATTTTACTATAACATATTATAAACCTAAAGTCAGTAGAACACTCAAGATATTATAATCCTCTATTTTAATTTACATTTAGTTGTCTTTTTTAGGATTAAAAGTAGAAAGATCATACTGTATTTGTCATTGATGATGTAAATGAAATTTAAGTTATGCAGTGTTCTATTCAAAAGGAATTATGCACCAGTTAAAATATTTAAATATTTCATCTCCAACTATGAAATTGTCTACTGATTTTAAACACCAGGGTATTCTGGAGATAACTCATCAGAGCATTTTCACATTAAATAAGTGGATCTAAACATCTTATTTGATAGCGATAGCAATTATTCAAGATGAGGGAACACACAGAACCCTAAATATTACTCGTAAGCGCAATATGTAACACTTAAAGAAATATTTTTCCCAATGAAGCTATAGTTGCTGATGTTTCTTCTTTTTGGTGGCTTTTCACTTAGTAAAACATTTTCTTTTCTTATTAGCTAGATATAGGCATTGGCCAGCTATGAAAACTGTAAGAGTCTCTTGGCTAGCAGTTCCAAAAGAAAAGAAAAAGATAATTGAAAAGGTTTCTTGTGGTTTGAAAATGCCTTCCAAATATTCATTAAACCTTTAAGTGAGTAAATTTGTAGAATATGTCTCTGCCATTGGCACTGGTTCTGTGGTATTTCTCTGATCAGATGGAAGCGCTGTGCGTTATGCAGAGTGCATTCAGTTCATTCATGCATAAACAATATCATTTTCATAAATTAAAACCTCCCCTGCAGAAGGAACATCTGTGCCTGCCTTTGAATAAAAGATGGTGGCATGTGAGTTACTCCTTGACTGACTGAAAGAATCTTTATGTTTAGAATGAAGTTATACATGCAAAATGGGGGGAAAAAATCAAAACTAACTTGCAGTCTTCATTCCTTCCTTATGAAAAAAAATCCACAGATTTCCCTGCTTGCTGTTTTAAAAGCTGAATTTCTTAAACTGTCATCCTCTCATTTCTTCTGTTCACCACAGCAATAGTTTTTAGTTTGCATGAAGATGTCTAATTTTAATTACAGGTGAAATTGAGCTGCTGAATAGATCACGCCAGATCTGAATGTTCACTTCATGGTCTCCTAGGCTGGAAGGTTGGCAGTGTTCAGATATCATATCAGTATTATGTCTCTTAAAGAAAGAACAGTGAAAGCAATCTTGGATATAGGAAGCAACAGCTTGATTCCAAAATAACAACTCTGTTTCACTTGGAATGAGATTATTGCATTTTGGATAAAGCTGGGACTAACTTAAAAGTATTTCTGCCATGTGATGAAGGATGATGGAAAACATGCTAAAATGATATATTTTAAATTGCACTCAAACATTTTTTTAATGTTGAAATATTCCTTACTGCTACTGTCACAGCTTGACATAGCCCCATTGGCAATGTTATTAGTATGGCTAATTGTTCCTGTCCATTAGATTTCTCACATTTTTCTGGAGCAGCTTGCTAAATGAGGTCAGCTTTCTGGAACCCCTAAATCACCAATGAGAAGGAGATTAAAGGAACAAGCTTGGGAAGGGAGGTAGTCATCCAATGTGGCATCCGAATCAGAGGAAGAACAATGGAGTTACTAATGACAGTAATCAGAGCACCACAGTAGAGCCAGGGCACAAGTGCCAAAATGTTATTCCCTAGAAATTGTTCCTGTCAGTCAATACATCCAGAGGGAGAGAAATGCCAAACTTTTTTAATGGCCTTACCAATGGACAGAATCATCTCTTAGTTTTTCCAGTGAGTTTATGAAACAACAGAATACTCCAAAGGGGGTGAGGAAACAATTACACCTTCCAGAAACATAGTACAAATAGTATGTCTTGAGTACAAGTAGTTCATTACTATTTTTTCCTGAAAGAATTATTGAAATCACATTTATATTACAATGATAAAATGCCATTTTATCTTCGACTCTTTTATATTTTTTTTATTTATTTATTTTTTTGGTATGCGGGCCTCTCACTGTTGTGGCCTCTCCCGTTGCGGAGCACAGGCTCCGGACGCGCAGGCTCAGCGGCCATGGCTCACGGGCCCAGCCGCTCCACGGCATGTGGGATCATCCCGGACCGGGGCACAATCCCGTGTCCCCTCCATTGGCAGGCGGACTCTCAACCACTGCGCCACCAGGGAAGCCCCTTCGATTCTTTTAATTAAATCATTTCTCCCTGGCATATTCTAAAGGTATATCACTTTCTCTTTGGGATAGGACAGCTTTGCAATAGAGAACATTTCAGTTCAAGAAAAGGTACAGAAAACAAAGCACGAAGAAAATGGTGAAAAAAGTTTTAATATGTTTTAAAAATATGTAGACAAACTAAGCTAGGTTACTTGTGTCTTGCTTGTTAATAATTAACTAAATCCATCTTCTGAAAAAAATAGAAGAAAACAACATAATCATTTAAAGGAATGGAAACCAAAACCAAAACCAAACAAAAATACAACTGTTTGTCTCTCCACAACCCTTACTCCACCCCAGCCTCATATTCCAAGTAATGAAATACCAGTGTGGTCCTTTCATTATCTACAAAGAGCTGGTGACTCCCTAAGCAAGATAAACAGACTAGACAGTTTGTGCTAAAGTAAACTTTTCTCTTTTATTTTATTCTACAAATAGAAATTAGTATTTTTTTTAAACTCAGCAAGTAAAGCAACTATCCTCCTTAGGAATTATTTATACTTTAAAACAAAAACACTTTAAGAAGAAATGCAACAATTGCTCAGATTTTCAATACTATTTTATTGCAACCGGATGAGTGTTTTCTAAATTGTGCATTACACCATAATATACAGGATTACAAACAAGATTACAGTACAGATCGATTCCAGTGGTACCAGTATCACATCTCAAACAGCACTTATTCTGGACTGCATTTTACATGCAATAGCTATTGTTCTAATTATGAATTAAATGGTTTGAATTTATTTAAGCTACTGTACTAATTGACTACAATAGATAAAAAAACCTCAACATCAACAACCTGATTAGATTTAGGCTCAGATTCATTACATGAATATATGACAAACCACCATTTGTGTGACTATGTATAAAATCATGCATTTATATTTTCTGGAAACATCAATAGCTTCAGATTCTCTGTAAAATCATGGAATGCGAAGGAGTAGAAGACTAAAAAGAAACAGTGCAAATTGTATGTGATAGTCAAGCAGCTTTTGATTTAAAGAAGGGTACGTTGGCATTTGTTTATAATATGTATATACAAGCTTGTGCAAGTAATGTATTGAATTGATATGTTTTGATAGGGAATACATCTCTTGTTTTTATTCATCCTCTTAAGAATTATGGATCTGGTTATCATTTTAAGGAGAGGGAGAGACTTTAAAGTGAAATGAATTGCTCAAATTGTGCAATTATTTTTAACAATTAGAGAAGAAAGAAGTGCTAAGGCAACACAATAACTTTCTAAGCACTTTTCTGCTGGTTTAAATTAGTTAAATTATTTTGTATAAATTAGATATAATTCTACTTTTCTGATATGTATAAAAATTGATGAAGCTGCATGGTTTTAAAATAGGAAATCCACATTATAAAAAGTCATTAAAAATTCTGTACAAAATCACAACAAAATAATTCAGCATGGGAAAGGTAACAAGTAGTAAAATGCTGGTTGAAAAATATATATTTATATATATTTTAATTGGCCCATTACTAGTTTAAAAATTGCATAGATCCTAATTATTGCTTGTGATTTTGTTATCCCGATCAGATAATTAATATGCTCTGAATACAGCTGCACCAAATTTGTGGTGCATTTTTTTAACTTTACTGTATTTTTTTTTAAAATAGAAGAGCTATAGAAAATAATACATAAAGTGAACAGGAACTTTGATCCCCTGTTTCTACCAAAGGCAGTAACGACAATAAATACATATATCACTTGAAGCTTGGGGTATTTGCACTTTGCAGCAGTAGTACCCAAAGGGCTGCCTTTTGTAAACACGACAGTCACTGTAAGCACAGTGGGTTCGTTTCCCAGGGACGGTGAAACTGACGTGCCTCTAATCGTGAAAGATGGCATTGAGCTGGGCACTCATGACTCGCTCATGATGTGAATGGCTATCGAAGGACATAATATTGTCTATAGGGATGTCACAGCGAGGGGCAGCGGCGCCCGAGAAGATTGATCCGTGGCTTTGGGCCCCTGCCAGGGTCGCTGCAGGATAGTGCATGGTAAAGGCATAATTTTTCTCAAACTCGGCGGACGGTTCGTGTTTGAAAGAGAAGTTGCCATTGATGCTGAGCGGCGGGCTGAGGGGTCCGTCAAAGGAAGGGCTGGTGCAATCAGTCAGAGGGCTCTCAAAGAAGGGCTCGAGCGCTGCGCTGTAGGCATGCGGCGGCGGCTTGACATGGAAGACATGGGAGCTGTCCATGGTGCCGTAGGGCGGGCTGGGCAGCCCCGGAGACTGGTAGGAGTAGGGGTGCACCGGGAAAGAAGCGCTGGCAGTCGGCAGGTGCGGAGGCATGTCCTGGTTCTGCTCAGGCAGAAAAGTCCGAGGATTGAGCTGCAGGCAGCCGGCAACCAGGTTGGTGGTGGGCTGGGATAAGCCCTTGCAGAGCGTCTGTACAAAGGAGACCAGGTCAGGGCTTTTGCCGGAACGCAGAATCTCCGACAGAGCCCAGATATAGTTTTTGGCCAAGCGCAGTGTCTCGATTTTGGACAGCTTCTGTGTCTTGGAGTAGCAGGGCACTACCTTGCGCAGGTTGTCCAGCGCCGCGTTCAGCCCATGCATGCGGTTCCGCTCCCGGGCGTTAGCTTTCATGCGTCTCAGCTTAAAACGCTCCAGGCGCGCCTTGGTCATCTTCTTCTTTTTGGGGCCGCGTCTCTTAGGCTTTTGATCATCGTCCTCCTCTTCCTCTTCTTCCTCCTCTTCCAGATCCTCCTCTTCTTCCTCCTCCTCTCCCCCGTTCCTCAGTGAGTCCTCTTCCGCGTTCATGGCTTCGAGGTCGTCCTCCTTTTTGTCTGTCTCGTGCTCCTCGTCCTGAGAACTAAGACATTCGTCTGTCCAGCTCGGAGGACCCTGCGGCTGAGGCTCTCCCATCAGCCCACTCTCGCTGTACGATTTGGTCATGTTCAGGTTTCCTACATTCAACAGGGGAGAGGGGAAAACAGAAAAGGAGAAAAACGCTACATTCAGAAACTACATATGCCCTCAGCTTCTATCCACTAACCCTGTAGAAGTGCATGTGAAGAGAATTATCCGCTGATTACAAAATGGATGCCCCTGAGGAAAAGTTAAATGCAGTTTTATAGTGGCCTGTGTGTGCCCTGCTGGTACGAAGGAGGCTGGACAGGGCTGGGAGGAGGGGAGACAGTATGTGTTATAAGTACACTTCCGGTGTATGTTTCCTTGTCATTAATTTAAGTGTGTTTATGGTGATTACCCGGTAGGATAATGTGTGTGAAAAGGAGTGTACATTTTGGCGACTTCATGTTTATTTGCATGAGTTCAAAGTCGCTCACAACTCCACAAAAATGACGAGTTTGAAAATTGCAATTGTTTCCCTCTCTGTTCTGGCCTCTGGGTACTCAGCGATTAACGTTGAAGAGCCATTACGTAATTTACTAACGCTGGCAGTGATTTTTAAGAAGATTATACTGAATGGGGATTGAAAAGCAAATGCATGGCGGAGGAAAAGTATTTTCCACCAAATTATTTCACCATCAACGAAACATTTGGTAACAAAAGTGGGCAGGGGTTTTCCATCCCACCCCTGCCTTTATTTTCTCGCCTCCCACCCCGCTGGCCCTCTGCTGAATTTCCACCTGGTATAAAAGCGCTTACTAGAGGGCCAGGGCTGGGGGCGCGGCGCAGAGCGCTCTTCCACGCGCCGGGGATCAGGTGCGGAAGGCTCCTCTCTAATAAACAGCCCATTGAAAGGGCCGCCCGCTCTTTATTGGGGCTTTTCAAAGTTCGCCTCAAACCTTCCTTTAAAAGATTGAGTAATTATAATGGTCAGCGATTGGCAATGGCGAAGTTGCCGCTTCTAATAAGGAAAATAAAAAGCCTTTAGTGAGACAACTGAATTTCTGGCACCTGCAGTGGCTGCTGGGGACTTGGCCGACTCTGGAACAGTAACAGGTAGCAGGAGTGGGTCTCTCTCCCTTTCTACACATTTTTCCCCCCTCTCAATTAAACTACCTCTCAACTCGGTTTATTTTCCAGGGTGTGTATATTCGAAGTATCAATGCCCCTTTCATTCACTGAAAAAATAAGTTGGCATTCCCAAATGTGTATAAAATACATGTACACAAAATAAATCTTGTAACGTGGGGTTTTTTCCCCCTTACTGGAGGAAGTGAAATAGTTAAGTAGTTACTTGCTTTCAGAACTTTGAAATCACCACTAGCAAATAATCACAGAGTTAGTGGGCGTTATATTTTTAAAAATCCAAAGACGCTCCTATACTTTCCCCCTTAAAAAGTAAAACAAATTTTTTTTAAGTTAGAAAGCCCGCAGTGGGTATTTGAGTGATGCGAGTCAAACTGTATGCGTATTCGCCTGCAATTATGGAAAGGAATGCCTGTCTCAACACATACACGCACTCACAAACGCACACATACAGAATATGTGTACATCTTCACTTGCTGCTTTTATTCCCAGCAAAAATGAAAGGATTGTAATTACCTGTAGTTGTTAGTAAGTCCTGAGCAGTGATGGTCTCATAACCCTGGGGCCTCCGGACGCCGTGCCTTCTGCGTGGGGCGAATTCCTCGTGTCCAGGCGGCGCGGGCGCTCAGGTTATATAGCCGAGTTGGTGATGCTTGAGCGCGGGCGGGGCCAGGAGCAGAGCGGCGAGCAGGTTCCTGCGCTCCGCGTCTGCGCACGCGTCTGGGCTTTGCGCCCCCTTCCCTTCCGCCCTCCTCCTCCTCCCCCGCCCCCGCCCCCTCCCCCTCAGCCTTGCTCCTCTCCCACCCTCCTCCGACCCAGCTCCCCACTCCCCCACCCCTACCCCCGCCCCCTCTCCTTCCTCCCCGGCATGCGCCATATGGTCCTCCCAGTCCAGCCAAGAGCCGGGAACCACGTGACCTGCCCATTTGTATGCCGCGGAGCGCTCCATTCCGGCCCCTTTGTGGCCAGAAGAAAGTGGCCCATCTGTCGCCAGTTAGAGACTCCGCGGACCTGTTTTTACCCGCAGGAGAGATTAACCCTTTCAGGCGGCACAAGGGGAGAAGGGGCGCGGGGGGGGGAAGGGGGAAAGGGGAAGGAGTTTGAGAGAAGGGAGCGGGAAAGCTAACACTGACTGGGTTTAGATCAGACTTAGTGGCCGGGGGGGGGGGGGGTTTGCTCCTCTCCCCCCCTCCTCCGACCCAGCTCCCCACTCCCCCACCCCTACCCCCGCCCCATCTCCTTCCTCCCCGGCATGCGCCATATGGTCCTCCCAGTCCAGCCAAGAGCCGGGAACCACGTGACCTGCCCATTTGTATGCCGCGGAGCGCTCCATTCCGGCCCCTTTGTGGCCAGAAGAAAGTGGCCCATCTGTCGCCAGTTAGAGACTCCGCGGACCTGTTTTTACCCGCAGGAGAGATTAACCCTTTCAGGCGGCACAAGGGGAGAAGGGGCGCGGGGGGGGGAAGGGGGAAAGGGGAAGGAGTTTGAGAGAAGGGAGCGGGAAAGCTAACACTGACTGGGTTTAGATCAGACTTAGTGGCCGGCGCTGGCGCGGTTAAGTAGGGCACAGGTGAAAGAGGCAGAAGCGAGAGACTTCTTTGGATTCCTCGCCCAGGCACTGGCTTCCCGGGCACTCCCTGCCCTCTCTGCGGTATCCATCTTTTGGTTTCTCCCCCTTGGTAGACACTTTGCTCATTGGCGCCAAAGGGTGGCTTCTCCCAATCTCCATCAGCCCCTTAAGCTAACATACACTATTTATTATACGTATAAAGACGGCTTCATCTGTAAACGCAAGCGTGAAAGTAGTCCCTAACCTCTTTAACTGGATCCCCCAGGCCCGGCCCCAACAGTGTAGAAAATTTCGTACCTGTCATTCCACTTCACCGTTACGTGGAACCCGGCGCGTCCTGACCCTCATCTACCCATATCTCTGGAGACTCCTCACTATGTCCGTACCCCTCTGGCCTGTGGTCCTTGTCCTCAGAGCGCGCTAGTCCTTGGCTTCTTTGGCCTCCGGAGCTCTCTTGCATGAAACCTAGAGGACTTCTCTGAAGCTCGGATTCTGCCTTTTAACCAAGGCCATTGGATCGATGTAAAGCGTGCCCTCACCCTGGTTCCCTAACACAGGCTGCCTTGCCCCCCTTAGTTCCCACTTTCAGACCTGTAAATGGAAACTCGGTTGAGACAAGCCTTGAAGGGAGGGTGCAAAGGGCCTGTGCTAAAGGGGTCTTTTTCACTCCTCTTCCTAGAAAGGTCATTAGTACAACTCTGGGAAGGGCTGATGGCCACAACTTCTCCAGACCTCAAAGACTCTGATGTGACCTCCACCTTGCAGGTCAAGCAAAAACCACAAGCTAACTGACTAATTCTGAAGGGGCCATATTTGTGTTTAAATGGTGATCATTCACTCGTTCCCACCAAGGCATGTTCCAGAATGATAACACTTTTTAAAGTTGGCTCTATTGCTTCCCTGCCCCCTTTTCTCCACCAGATTCGCCTCTAATCCTCCACTAACTAACCCCTTATCCCCTCCCAGACCCGTGTCCCCTTACAATGAAAGCGTTGAACTAGAATTGCTTATTTAAAGGCAATTGCTCTAAAAGACCCCTGAGTTTGGAAACAGTGTCAGGGTTGAGCGGTGCACCTGGGAACCAGAGGCGGGATACGGAACCGGAGGGGAAGAGAGTCCTAACGTGATAGCTGGTGTCTAGAAGGCTGCGATGCAGGCTTCCCGGTCCAGTGCAAATCTGAAAGAGGAATAAAGGGGTTTGAGACCCGACCCGTTGCCCAAAGTGTGGCATGAACCGTGCTGAGTTTCCAGGGCAGAACTGTACAGAGTTTTGGTTTTTGAGTTCACTCGTCGGTGTACAAACATCACAGAAGAGGATCAAAGAATTCACCCAGGAGTCTAGTCTCAGTATGTATCCCTGTACAGTATATATCTTAAATGAAGGGTTAAAACTCGAGGGGCATCGGAGTAACAGCCTGCAGAGGCCGGTCCACACCTCGGAAGTCCCAGGACACGCGGCGGGTGGACCAAGGTCTGCCACTCTTCCGGCAGCTGCCCCTACGGCCTAGCCCACCGTGCCCACGGGGACGTAGAACTTGTGCCCTGGCTCTCATTTCTCAGTCTTAGGGGAGCTTCAGAGGAGATGTTGGGGGCCGGGTGGAAGAGGGTTCCAGCTGCCCCGAAGGCCTGGGGTGGCCTAGGGGATTCCCCCCCACCCCCGGAAGCGCAAACTTCCCCAGTTTGCGACACCCTGTGGAATACAGGAGATTCTTGGTGGAGCCAGATGTTCCTGGGCGGGGAAGGAAAGGAAACGCGGGGGGGTTCGCCAGCCGAGATTCTAATGCGCATAGTGCGGGAATTACTACGCTCTTTCCC